TAGTTAATAGAGAGAGGTAGGTAAAAGGGACTTTTATGTGACCCATCTGTTGTTTCATGGGTGCCCGATCTCTTTGGTAATATGTACATTCCAGGAAAGCGTGTTCTGGGTCTTCAAAATTTGAACAATGGCTGCATTCACCATTTGGGTGTTCTTTTATTTGGTACAGATGTCCATTTAGACCTGTGCAATTAAACCGGAGGCGTGTAATAATAACTTCTTGATGTCTGTTCGTACATTCATACTTGATGTGAGAAGAAACAACAGGAACAGTTTTCTTGTAGATATTGGAATGTTGCACGGAATTCCATCTACGCTGCCAGGAATCTAAAATGAATTGATAAACTTGGCCATAGAGGTCACCAAGTTCAATAGAAACGTTTGTGACCCCAGGATATGCTAACGCATTCTTGGCAAGATGATCAACTATCTAATTTCCCTGGATTGCTATATGGCTAGGGACCCAAAGAAATTTGATGACCATACGACGACATAATCGGATAAGGTATATAAATACTTCACTCGGTAACATTGGGCTAGATGTAACGGAACCGTTCTTAATCGAAAGTAATGAACTTAAAGAATCACTGACTATCAGAGCCTTCGTAACCTCGGAATCTTCCAGCCACAGAAGGGCTTGTAAGATAGCAAACAGTTCAGCCTTATATACAGAAGTAGGTGCAGTTTTAAATGATTTTCTGATGTTGAGATTGTTTATATAAAATGCCGATGAAGTAAAACTGGTAGACTTGGAGCCATCCGTAAAGATACTAGTATAGTCTGAGAAACTAGCTAGTTTCTCCTTGGCCAAAGACAAAAGCAAATAACTTTGCTCCCGTTTTTTACTAGCATAATGAAGACTGACGACGACATCTGGGGTTGAGCTCTCCCAAGGAGGAAAGTGAACTGCAGACTTTAGGGCTGAAACCGTAAAGCCCCATTTAAAAAACCAATCGCTAAATTATCCAGATTTGTTTGAAGACAGGTTTGAATGTGATTAATATTACGACCAATTTTCCAGAGGGCTAGATCATCAGCAAAAATACTATAATTCATAGCATTATTAATGAAGGAAGGACTAAGGTCATTAATCATTAGAAGGAATAAAATAGGGCTAATAACACTACCCTGGGGAGTGCCATTTTCCGAGACTTTTTCCCCAGAGACGACTCCATTGACTCTGACCTTAAAGGATCGGTTTGAAAGAAAGTCTTTAATCCAGTTAAAGAGTTGGCCATCAAAACCATAACTATTGAGTTTATATAACAAACCTTTTTTCCAGACCATATCGTATGCTCGTTCAATATCCAAGAATACGGACACTGCCTTGCCTCTGTTACATAATGATTTGTTGACATCTTCATGTAGCCGTACCAAATGATCAAGCGGTGACTTCTTCCAACGGAAACCAGACTGAAACTGGTCGAAAAGTTTATGTTTTTCACAATACCAATTCAAACGGTATGCAATCACTCGTTCCATAATTTTACACACAGTAGAAGTAAGAGCAATTGGTCGATACGATGTAAGAGAACTTGGATCCTTGTC